TAAGGCTACTTTACCCCTGAATGAGAGGATCCACACAAGGGTTAATACACTTTAATGCATATGCATTGACTTCACACCTCCAGTTTACATTTTTTCAAAGCTGATTCTAACAGTTTTTCAGAAATTACACAATTATTTAAACTTCTTTTCAAAATAATCTCCCTTTTAAGGGCTCATTCCTGTACATAGTATTCACATTCTGCTAGATTAACTTTTCAGCTGGTTTGCTCAAAAGTTTCCTAGGTCATGGGTTCTCAACCTGGGATCATGAACTTGAAGGGGTTGCAAAAAGGTCAGGGGAGGTCATGACTAGAGCGGAGTGACATTTTTCAAACAGAAAAGGAGTACTTGTGGCACCTTAGAGACTAACCAATTTATTTGAGCATGAGCTTTCGTGAGCTACAGCTCACTTCATCAGCTGTAGCTGTAGCTCACGAAAGCTCATGCTCAAATAAATTGGTTAGTCTCTAAGGTGCCACAAGTACTCCTTTTCTTTTTGCGAATACAGACTAACACGGCTGCTACTCTGAAATTTTTCAAACAAATAGTTCATTTGCTGGAAAACGTATCTTTGGTCAACTCAAAAACGTGTGTGAATTTGACACTAATTTGCTGCATGTTTTTTGCCCCCAAAATAATTGTGGGGTAGAGTGGTTAGATTGGAGGTAGTTATGCCACCCTACATAAAAATTTTAGCCCAGTGGTAACCACCAGGCTATAGAGTCATTTTCTTTCTCTCTGGCCCGAAGTATTTTATTCAAAGTGCAATAGCTCCAACAGGAGAGATTGAGCAACACACCCTAGAATATGCTATTGACTCGTCGTTAGGGCACTCACCTAGGAGAGGGGAGACTTGGGTTTAAGTTCTTGCTCCAGAGAAGGGATTTGAATTAATGTCTCTCACATCACAGGTGAGTTCCCTAGTCCCCGCTAAAGGTCATAAGGGGGTTCTTTTGGAATCTAGCCCTTCATTTCCTTTGCTGTTATTTAAAAAAATGCCCAACAATTAAACAAAACATTTCAGGTCAAACAAAATGTTTTTCTTTGTTTACCCAAAATGAATTTTTTTCAACTTGTTTGAGACTGAAAATTTCAAAACATTGTGATTTTGGTCCTGGTCAACCCAAATTTATTTTAGGGTTTTTGGAACTCTCAGGAAACTGAAACATCTGTTACTTGCACAGCTCTAGTCATGATCATCTTCCCTTTCTTTATGTTTAGATGGAATGGAAAGATCCCACATGTATGATAGAGGTTTATAAAATCACAAATGGTGTGATAAAAGTAAATAGTGAAGTGATATTTCCCTTTCACATAATACAAAAACCAGGGTTCACCTTATGAAAATAAGAGGCAGCAGGTTTAATACAAACAAAGGGGAAGTACTTTTTTTACACAGTGCACAACTAACCTGTGGAACTCAGTGCTATGGGATGATGTGATGGCCAAAGGTATAACTGGATTAAAAAAAGAACTGGATAAATTCATGGATGATATGTCCATCAATAGCTGTTAGCCAATGTTGACCACTGGCCTTGTTTCCTGCAAGTTTCAAAGTCTGCTGTAAGTAGAAGATATTATAAGGGTATAATATTAACCGGTATGCATTACTTGCTAGTTTGGAACATGCATAAGTAACTGGGTTACTTAAGGGCCTGCTATATTAGTTTGAGGCCTTGTAAGAGTAGTTATACTGAGGTCTGAGCCTGGTTGAGGTGCACGAGGGGATGCAAGCTCTGGGAAGCAGTTTGGGTGCTGGAGGGGGCTCAGGGCTGAGGGAGGGGGTTGGGGCGTGGGAGGGGGTGGGGGGTGCAGTCTCCAGGACGAGGCTCAGAGCTAGGGCAGGGGATTGGGGTGAGGGAGCATGTGTGGGCTCTGGGAGGGTGTTTGGATGCAGGAGGGGGCTCAGGGCTCGGGCAGGAGGCTGGGATGCGGAAGAGGGTGAGGGGTGCAAGCTCTGGCCAGGCGGTGCTTACCTTGGGTGGCTCCCAGTCGGTAATGCAGCAGGGTGAAGGCAGGCTCACTGCCTGCCCTCACCACTCCCAGAAGTGGCCGACATGTCTCTGCAGTCCTGGGGGCTCCACATGGTGCCCCTGCCTGCATGCACTGCCCGCACAGCTCCCATTGGCCGCAGTTCCTGGCCAGTGGGAGCTGCAGAGTCGGCTCTCTGGGCGCAGGCAGTGGAGACCCCTGCTCCCCTCCAGGGACCTCTAGTAACCAGGCAGTTAGATCATATTTACACATAAGAATTAAGAAATATGTGGTCCTATAGAGAAAGAGACATAGAATCCTTTGTAAGAGAAACTTCTGTGTAGCCCAATTTGGGGAAGAACCTATGTTAATGGATAAAATATAAGTGTGATCATCAATAAACAGTATAGCAGTGTGAAATATACAGTGACTTAATTTGCCAGGGCTACACCAAGATGGTCAGGGATGGAACCCTATGCTTGGGGTGACCCTAAACCTCTATCAGAAGCTGGGAGTGGAAGACAGGTGGATAATTGCCCTGTTCTGTACACTCACCCTAAAGCTCTGGTACGGGCCACTGTTGGAGACAGGATACTTGGCAAGATGGACTTTTTTTTTTTTTTTTTTTGTTGCTTCTGTTGTATCATGGGATCATAGTACGGACAACATAAAAAACTGCTGCCCTAAGGCATCATTAAGCACATACTTTAGCAAGAAGGATCACAGGGCCACATTTATATCAGAATCATTGTGAAATGTGAGTAAATGATTAGCTAGGGGATTGAATTGTGTCCTTCTGGTTTCATAAATAAAAGCTTTGCATATCTGTAGTTGCAGATGTCAAGGAAAAAAAGATTGGCAGACAGACTAAGGAGGTGGAAATACCTATTTTTTAAAAGTGCTCACCAACAAGGTTTTATTGTATTTTGTGTTGAGAGATGGGCTGTTTTGTTTCAAAATAAAATTCACTATAAAGTGAATGCAAATGTTTGTGAAAAGTTGCACTGACATTGACAAAAGTGATTTGCAAAACCCAAACCAATTGAACGTTCAAAAGTCTCCTGACTGCTCTGTTAAGAGCCTTGTTTTGAAATCCACAAAGAGAAACAGAAAAGCTGTTGTGGCAAAAATTTCTCCAATTCTGGCATCCAGATAGTGGTAGGTAGAATATTAAATTGTTCTGGAAAACAAAGAAGGGACTGTGAGGTTGAAAGAAATAGCTCTACGGTAAATTCTGGTGGCTTCAGCAAACAGGTTTAGGAAAGGAGAAGACGCAGAAACAGGCTGACTGAGATGGAAATAGGAAAAGAGTATTGCAATGTTAATGTGAACCCCAGTGTATTTTGATCTGACCTGGGCTTAACAGCTATGCAAAGGGATACTATACAGAGGAGGAGAGCTTCTGGCTGATCAAACTAAATAATAAGAGCATTGACAGGCTGGAGCAGATTGGTGCTTTATTGGTGCCAGTATCCTATTTCTCACAGTGACCTACTACAAGATGTTTCAAAGAAAACTGCAAGAAACCCCACATGAATAATTAATGAATAATCCTCCCTAGAAGGCAAGTTCCTTCCTAACTCCATGCAGATAGTGGTTGATTTATGTCTGAAGTATGAGTGTTTGTGTCTCCACCAAAAAAAGATTTTTTTTCCATGTAAAAAAGATATTTCCATGTAACTATCTAATCTTTCTGGAATACAGCCATGCTTTTGCAGTTGCTATCTTGCGGCAATGAGTTCCAGAGGTTAAATGTGGACTGTTTAAAAATGTGTTTCCTGAATCAATCCTAAATTAGTTGTCAGTGAATGTTTCCTTATTTGTGCACTATGTATGAGAGAGGATGAATAAGAGTACCTGATTTGTTTTCCCTGCACCTCATGTCCCCTCTTAGTCTTTCCCTATCTAAAATAAATGGTCCCAGTCTTTTCAATCATTTTGTATTTTTGCCTTTCCTAATTATTTTTGTTGCCTCTCTCTGAATCCCTTCTATTTCTGCTACCTTTTTTAGATAGGGTGACCAAAACTGAACCTAGTATTCCAGGTGGGGCTGTTCCACTGATTTATACAAAAAGCATTATAATTACTGTTTTAAACGGAGGTTTCCATTCAATTGTCCACATTGAGATGGAAGTCTTTTACTGAGTGGTTACAGTTAAGGAAGAACCCAGCAATGTGTTTCTTCCGCCTGTATTACTCTACATTCCTCAACACTGAATTTCATTTGCCATTGTGAAGTCCATCACTTACCTTTTATTAGGTCTTTCTGAGGTCTCTCATAGTCCTCTCTAGTCATGACTTACCTAGCTAACTTTGCGTCATCTGTGAGTTTTGCCACTTCCCCGGGTTATCCCCTTTTTCAATTGAAAAATGCATTTAAAAATACGTTTAAAGTAATTTTGGTTTCCCACAGGACTCAGGTTTTTAAACTGATGCTGTTCTGTATTGGAGGTACAATAATTCAAAGGCATCCTTTCTGTATCCCTTGTTGTTCTGCTGATATTTGGATTTATTTTGCCAACTCATCAGACCCTGGAAAAACATATCCACTTTGATTTATGTGTTTCTGGCATTCTTCTCCCTGTTTCATGTACCAGCTGGTTACAGACGTTCAATGATGCAGGAATGCTGCAGACTCTCAAACCTTTAGTGCAGTGTGGGGCCTGTGTAACGATCTAATTTGTTTAGTCTTAGTTTCCTGTGTTTCTTCTGAATGCCTGGTTGGGACCTCAGTCCTCAGCCCTACTTCATTACTTGGCCCTTTACATCTGTGACACACCTAAGCAGAAAATTAACGTCCTATTTGATGGAAACCAAATAGGTCTCTGCACCATCACACTCTAAACTCAGATTTCATACAAGATGAGTCTTAAATTGCATATAGATTTTCAATGCATGGACAAAGGTGGGCATAGAGAGGAAAATTTGATTTTGAAGATATACAAGATGTATCAACATTATGGAGAAGGAGGAGTGAGAGGAACCTTTCTTCACTGATGGCTAAATAACTGCAACTCCTGTGGTTTCAGGCTGCTCTAGCAGGAGGCACTACTATGATCATCGACTTTGCAATGCCTCAGAAAGGCTGTTCCCTTGTTGAAGCCTATGACACATGGAGGAACTGGGCAGATCCTAAAGTCTGCTGTGATTATGCACTGCATGTGGCAGTTACATGGTGGAGCAGCAAGGTAGATACAATAGTGTGTTAACGCTATATTGATTTCTGAATGTTAAGTTGAATTATTCATGACTAGATTTCAGATGTAAAGTGTAACTTGCTAACATAAGTAAAATGTATAAATACTTACCTGTGTTTGCAAAGGCCTTCAGTAGTATTGCCTTGGTCTGTGAGAGATCTCCAGGAAAACCCCATTCATTCTTGTGTATACTGGGCCTTACCAAGAGAAGTGCTAAGACCCTGATGATCACCTAAAATTTCCATTGATTTCAACGGGACTTTCAGGAATTTTGCATTTCTTAGAACGAGACCCATTCTTTGGGATCATATAGAATATGAGGTGCTATATTAATAATGGTATGATACTAATATTAAATACCAGAATATGGTTCTTCTAGTTCCAATTTTTAACTCCTCAAATTACACACTGAGACCTTAGTCCTGTAACATCCCAGGCATGGGATTCTGTGCACTGAGCACTTAATGCATTGGTCACAACTTTGTAATTGTATAAAAGGTATAAAATAAATTAGCCAGTAAAACTTAATGCATGAGCCTTAGAAGCTCAGCCTTAGGACCGTAGAAATACATTGAAAATACCATTGACGCTGGCTAAGTGTAAATTAGTGAACTGCCCTGGTTTTATATTTATAATTCCATTCATTTTGTTCTGTAGTCTTGGGCTGCATAAATGCATTTAATTTATCAAGAAAAATGGAAGTCCCTACATTTTTCAAACAGAAAGGGAAAGCTAGGCAAACCAGATGAAGACAAGTACATATGTCATGCCCTTTTGATATGCCACCAGCTCCTCATGCTCTAGCAGCTACTGCATCTAATTCTAATTTAATGCAACAGAAAACTTAAATTCTTGAGAATTCCTTTACCAGATCCTAGAGTTTAGAGAAAGCAGACCTATTAGTTTGTCATCTCCACTGCCGCCCGTCCCACCATACTTATATGAATATAGCAAGTGTGCTAAATGTTTGACATCTCTGATCTCAGAGCGAATGTTCTAATATTTTTATCCAGTTAAGAAGTCTTTCTTGGGTTTAATGGGTCTCATAGGTTCCCTGGAATAGACCCACCCAGATGTTAGAGATCATAGTTAATGATCATTTAATAATAATCCTCAGAGGATTGCAAAGCACCATGCAAACTAACAATCAGAAGTATTGTATTATCTTAATTTTATTGAGCAGTTAATGCTCCAACCCCGCAACTGGTTACATGTGGGCAAATCCCTGCACCTATGCAGAACCCCGTGGTTCCCCCCATGCAGAGTCAATTGCAGGCTCAGGGTCTAAATGACTTGTCCAAGGTCCCAGGAAGTCTGTGTCAGTTCTGATAATAGAACCTAGGTGTCTGGACGTTCAGCACTGTTCCTTATCTATGACACTGCCTTACATCACTATATGAAAACCATTTTAGTGGGTGACCAAGACCAAGCAAAGTGGTACTGTCATGTGTCTCCTACTAATAACACAGATTGCAATTTATCAGGCATATTCAGGTCCGTGGGGAAGGAAAGGCTTCCCAGACTGGCATATACCCTGGAATAATGGAGAGGGGGGCAAGAGGGGCTTCCCAGATGGGCACATATGTGGATATTGGTGAGAGAGGTTTCCCAGATGGGGCATATTCCCTCCCTCTCTCCCCTCCAGTTCCAGGGTCTCTTCCAAATTCTGTAATTTAGCTGTTTTCAACCTAAATATAAATTGACATTTCAGCTATCTGCAAAACACACAGGGACTGGGTCTGGAAATCCTCACTTGGTTGCCCTCACTCTCCCAAGTTCCCTGGTGGCCTAGCAGCTATGACAGGCTTATGCCTTTAAACCAGTACATTTAACAGACCACACTACATGGGGGGGTCATTCTTCCTATTTGCTTCTGTCTTGTGTCAGTCCAGAATCTGCTAACTTCCCAAGCTGCCTGGAAAGAAGTTACCTGTAAATCCCAACAGTAAAATTCAACCTGCCCGCAAAACAAATTAAAAAAAGCAAGCTGAAGTTTTTAAAGCACCAGCCTGTGAGAACCCCTTGGTTACCATGGAGAGGGTTGGGGGCTTAGAAGATGCCTCTGGATCCAGTTAGTACTTAGGGCAGGGAACACAGGGGTATGAAACGTGAATCCTTTGCGGCTCCGGGATATACTGTTAGTGATCAGGACTTTTGATTCTACCGAGCCCAGAGATCCCATGACCTGGGATCCCATGCAAGAGACAAAGGAGGCTTCCATGTAGATAATGATTCGAGAATTGGAACAAAATATCCCAAATGACTGAATATTACATAGCCCCCAGGTCACATTCCTAAAGAGCAGAAACCTTTTCCTTGTCAGTCATTCCAGATTTGTCCTTACTCTTTGAGTGCCAGAGATTAATTCCCAGCAGGGACAAAGCAGGTTTAGCATCTAGTCTGAAAGATCTAAACTCCCGGATCAAAACTTGCCCAGACCTACACTCTGACCTTTTGCGAGAGAGAAATTGAATACTAATTAGCATACGGTGCAGAGCTCTTTCTACAAATTCCAGGCTCTTTGCACCACTTTCTTTGGTAAAAAGTCCAGTCTTTGAAAATCCTTTGTGTATTGGACATCTGTATGTGTGTATATGTAGTTTGTGAAGCACTTTGCTATAAAAGGAGCTATGTAAATTGGTCTGAAACATTTTACTTTCCATGCTTGCTTGGTCTGAGTAAATTTTTTCTTGATGGGCAAGTAAAATATCATTGGGTTGTTCATTATCCTGATCTCCTCATGGCAGTTTAGCAAGGCTGATAGAAGGGGAAAAGATAATTATATTTTTCATAGCTGCATTGTGGGAATTGTTGACACTGCTTTTCTTTCAGGTTAAGGAAGAAATGAGAATTCTTGCTGAAGACAAAGGGGTCAACTCCTTCAAGATGTTTATGGCTTATAAAGATCTGTATATGGTTGGAGACAGTGAACTGTATGCAGCTTTTTCCCAGTGTAAGCACATTGGAGCCATTGCTCAGGTGCATGCAGAGAATGGGGATTTGATTGCAGAGGTAGGTGTTGGATGCAATGATTTAAAATTTGGAAGTCAAAAGTACTGACATGTCCCCCATTCCCACACTACCTGGCTGCCTTATGTCTTCACAGTTATGTAGGAAGTGCTATTATCCCCATTTTACTTATGGGGAATTGAGGTTAAGTGACTTGCCAGAAGTCTCTGTGGTAGATCAGGGAATTAAAGCCAAGTGTTCTGAATGCTACGCTAGTGTCCTAACCAGTGGGCCCATTTGATTTTGGATAGGTGCTTGATGATGCCAAGTAGCCTACATAGTGCAAAGTAATCATCAAATTCTTTTTAGGGCCTGACCCAGACACCTTTGAAATCAACAGGAGTCTTTCTATTGACTTTGGTGAGCTTTAAACCAGGCCCTTAATGTTTCTGAATTTTTTTTAAGCATGTCAGATAACCACTATGCATGAACATGAAGGCTAATGTTGTGTTTGTTTATTGTATATGTAGTTTAGCTCCCTTAAGTAGTTAGTGGGTTGTGCTTATATGCATAAAGTGAAAAGCGCTGAGTAGGGCCAGGAATATGTGATAGGGTGAGAAATGATCCTTCTATAATGAGAGCATTACCACACAGCTGCCAAGAAGAGTGAGCACAGAAGAGCAGGAGTGAGGTCAGTGGGAGGAACACATGGCTAAGTGCTTCAGTGGCATGATGAGGCTAGGACTTAACTCCAGGTTTTCAGAGTTTCTTCAACTACTCTAGCCAAAGATACTTCAATAGACTCCCGAGTCCCTCAATAGGGAATGCATTTGTCACTAAACTACAAACCAGTGAGTGTTTAAGCTCTTGTAACACAATGACAATTATAATACTTTGTGCTCACCTAGACCCTTTTCATCCCTAGACCCCAAAGTACTTTACACAGGTAGTTAGGTATCTTTATAATGTGGGTAAGTATCTGTACTACTGATTGGTCCACTCAGGCATATAGATGTTCAGGGTGGGCTTTTCAAAAGCAGCTAAGCATCTTTGAAAGCCAGTGGCACTTGTGCTCCTAAGTCACTTAGGCATTTTTTAAATTGCACTCCTAAATATCGGAGTCTGACCTTTGACTTCAATGGTAGCAGAAGTAGGCCAGTGCTGAGTGCTCTTGAAAATCCCATCCTAAGTGAATTGCCCAGTGTCACTCAGGAAGTCGGTTGCAGCATCTGGATTAGAACCCAGATCAGCTGACAGCTCAGTTGGCCAAACCACTGCTGCACTTATATAATTAATGCTGCTAATTAAAGCAACACTAACATATATGCATTCTTGTGTGGTCTATAGGGTGCAAAGAAGATGTTAGCACTGGGGATAACTGGCCCTGAGGGACATGAACTGAGTCGTCCTGAAGAGGTGGAAGCAGAAGCGACACTGAGAGCAATCACCATAGCAAACTTGGTGAACTGCCCTCTTTATGTAGTTCATGTAATGAGCAAATCTGCAGCAAAGGTGATAGCTAATGCACGAAGAGAAGGTAACTGTCCTATGGCACGTTCATGCTTGGTCCAGAGCATGAGAGTAATGGTCATGCTTGTTGAAGGATGGTCGCAGGAAGGTGTCTTAGCTGGCTCCTCAGTTGGGGTTTCTGTCAGGGGCTGAGGGTGAGGATGATAGTTGGGAGGGTGGGTAAGGGCATTTTAAACTGCTGCTGGAACGGAGAGAAAGACAGTGGCTCCGAGCAGTGTATAGAGGTTGAGTGTACTTGTCCTCTGTGTGTTAAACATACGCGGCTGGTTACTGCTATGTCATGGCACAGAGATATAAAAATACTGTGACTTTCTGAGTCAGCTGCTGCTTTAATAAAAATAAAATAGTTTGTTTAATTGCAAGAGGAAAATCTCTCTTTAATTTTCACTATCTACTTGGTATATGAGGAATTGCAATAGCAGGAAACAGGAGCATTTGAGGGTAGCCTGGACATTAACTTCATGCTGCCCTTGTGTACAAAAGCTTTAGTCTGGCCCTTGCACTGATGCTCTGAATTATTAGTGCACTTGGTTTTTAATCAAGTTGTGGGATGTCACATACATGCTGGCGAACGCCAGTGTTTGAAAAAGTGCTCACTAATTTTGGGTGCCCAACTTGAGGCACCACATGCCAGGTGAGTGCTCTCCCCACTGGGCTAAAGTGTGTGTGTGGGGGGGTGGGGGCACTGTCTCCCCTGTCATTTTCTTCACTTTTAAACAAAGTTCAAAAAATGACTCAAACCAAAACATGTCAGTCAACAGGATGTGAAACTTTTCCAACCTTTTGGATTCACCAAAAATTTTGAAGGATTTTGGTTTTAGTTTGACCTGAATTAAATTATTTTCCAGATTTTCTGACCTGCCAGCAAACAGAAAAATCAGCTGTTCACACAGCTCTAACCATGATGGAAGGGGCCCAAATCTTTATGGATTACGAGCCTTTTCAGATCCCACTTGGCTTCCCTCTTGATCCAACTTGATCCATGTATGCCTCAGTTTCCCTGCCTATACATTTTGGCTACCAGCCTACCTTATAGGCTTGATTAATTTCTTTAAAGTGTTTTGAGATAGTGGATGAAGGTTCCACAGAACAATAGTAATATTGTTACAAATAGGATTAAAGTAATGTTTACCCACATCCTGTTTTGAAGTATAGACATACTGGAGATAGCCAATGTATTATGGTATTCTAATAAGATTCTGTCTTATTGATTCAAATATGTAAAGGAATCTTTTACCTGTATCTTATTTAGCAGCAAAGATTATCAATACTGTGCTAAACTAGATTTGTCCACTAGGTGACACTCCTGGTAGTAACGTGGAATCTAACTTGCTGTATGCCTTTGCAAATTCATTCAGTCAAGTGGTATCAGAATCAAATATAAGAAACTGCAAAATCAGTCAAAATATCCATCTGAAAGCAGAAATTTTGACAAGCAAATGTAAAGGCCTGATGACAGGAAACGCTGTGTCAGTACAGAAGTCTGTAATGCTGGCAAAACCTATAACACTTATAAAGTCTCCTTCATGTTATATGTATGTCCTGGAGTCCATGTAGGATTACTGGTGACTAGGCACAAAGAACAAACTGATTGCATTCTGCTCCCTGCTACCCTGAAGAAAACTGGAATTACTTCATTCAGTTGCTCCAGGCTTACATGAGAGAAATGAGGTCTGGCCTACACTTAAAAAGTTTTACGGGAAAAACTTTTACTTCAGTTGGACGTGTGGGTTTTTTGACTGAAATAGTTTGTACCAGTAAAAGCCCCAGTGTGGGTAGTGGTATAAAGGTGACTGGTATAGCTTATTCCGCTTCCCCTACAGAATAGCTATACCAATATACAGTAAGTACTTTGTTTCTGGTATAACTGTGTCCATGTTTTATGGGGGTGGGGAGAGAACCACAAGAGTTAAAGCACAAACCTTTCTAGTGTAGATAGGGCCTGAGAGTGGATTTTGACCAATTAAAAAATCCAGCCCCCTGAATTTTTAAAAGATTGATCCAAAAACAACATACCAAAATTGGCCAAATTATAAACAGAATGTCACTGTAGAATAAGAAGATTGCTGGACTAAACATACAGAACAAAGCCCTTAAAGACCACCCCAGCTAAGGCTCAGTTGACAGGTCAGATTAGGCTCTGAATTGCAGATGTGTGAATCACACTTCTGAAAATGGGACTTAGGCTGTCACGTACATGCTTCTGAAAATTTTATCCCAATAAACAACGTGCAAGGATCAAATCTTCAAGTGTGACATGATTTCAGCTGATGGGTCTCAAGATTATGCCTCTCCTTGAACTGCAGAGAGATTTGACAATAAATCTGAAGCAGGCAGTGAGCTTAGGGATAGACCAGTTCGTGGGGAAGCAGCCAGTGCCGGCTCAGCTAAATGTTTAGTGAAGAGACAACTAAGAACCTATTTTCAAAGAGACCTGACTCCAGAGTACAGCGAAAGCAGTCAAAAAGACCGGAAGGGGCTTGCTTCCTGCTTAGTATTTTTATTAAATACAAGAAAATGTGACAAAATGCAATGGTATTATGGGTCTGATCTGTCACGGCACTACCCATTATAGTGTCTTTAGGCACAAGCAGGTTGAATTACTAGAGCCTTCCCTCAGAATGTCCTTGCTTGTTGGTTTAAGGCAGTTTCTAATATTATTTTACCACTAAATCCAGTGAGTCATGGTCAGAATGAAATGCAAGAAATAGTAAAATCAGCAAAAATGTCCAAATTTAACCTGGCAAAGTTGCAGCATGCTAGACTCAAGGCCATTACTGAAAATGAATCTGCAGGTTTATGCTCTTTGCCACTCATGGGAGCGCCTCAGGTTATGTTCTGATTGCAGAAACTTCATCATGAGTGATGATACATGAGCCAGAAAGAACCAGCTTGACTCATGCATCCCAGAGGGTGCTGGGCTAAGAACTGAAAACATCTATGCACTTGTAAACACTGAAACTCAGATATGGAACTATTGGCAGACAATCACGGAACCCCCCCAGTGCCGTTTTTGCAGGCTTTTTTCCACAGTATTTCACGGTGAAGTTCACTCTAGGAGGAATTCTTTCCTCTGCTGCTGAGCCAGCCCCAGCAAGAGAGAATTCCCCCAGCACAGGCATTGCATAAGCACTGCCGCCACAAGACCCAGGGTAGGTGGCATGGTGAGCGTGGGAGAGGAGTGTTGCAGGTTGAAGGTGTAGGTGGAACTGCCTCCCACAGGCAGCTGAAGACAGGCTGCTGTAACCTCAGCAGACCCTCAGAAATGTCTGTTACGTCGGGAGGCCCCTGCGGCCTAAAGTCACATTACCACCCGCTCCCCACCCACCTGAACCATGGATGTGAATTTTGTGCTGTGTCTCTTAGAAGGCAGTGCAGAATCCCGTCCTTTAAAGTTTGAAAATAAATGGACATAATGAAAAGGATCTACTGCTTAGGTCTTGGAAGAGAGTCCTGGGGTTCCCATCCCATCGAAGAGAGGGAAGAGCATCTTTGCGAGCAGGCTGGCTAACCTAGTGAGCGGATCACTGCGGACTACGTGGCTCTGGGAAGAAGGATAAAGGAGTTTGAGGCGCAAGTGGTGTTCTTGTCCATCCTCCCCATGGAAGGAAAAGGCCTGGGTAGGGACCGTCGAATTGTGGAAGTCAATGAATGGCTACGCAGGTGGTGTCGGAGAGAAGACTTTGGATTCTTTGACCATGGGATGGTGTTCCATGAAGGAGGAGTGCTGGGTAGAGACGGGCTCCATCTGACGAAGAGAGGGAAGAGCATCTTTGCAAGCAGGCTGGCTAACCTAGTGAGGAGGTCTTTAAACTAGGTTCACTGGGGGAAGGAGACCAAAGCCCTGAGGTAAGTGGAAAAGCGGGATACCGGGAGGAAGCACAGGCAGGAACGTCTGTGAGGGGAGGGCTCCTGCCTCATACTGAGAATGAGGGGCGATCAGCAGGTTATCTCAAGTGCTTATATACGAATGCACAAAGCCTTGGAAACAAGCAGGGAGAACTGGGAGGTCCTGGTGATGTCAAGGAATTATGACGTGATTGGAATAACAGAGACTTGGTGGGATAACTCACATGACTGGAGTACTGTCATGGATGGATATAAGCTGTTCATGAAGGACAGGCAGGGCAGAAAAGGTGGGGGAGTAGCACTCTATGTAAGGGAGCAGTATGACTGCTCAGAGCTCCGGTACGAAACTGCAGAAAAACCTGAGTGTCTCTGGATTAAGTTTAGAAGTGTGAGCAACAAGAGTGATGTAGTGGTGGGAGTCTGCTAGAGACCACCGGACCAGGGGGATGAGGTGGATGAGGCTTTCTTCCAGCAACTCGCAGAAGCTACTAGATTGCACGCCCTGGTTCTCATGGGTGACTTTAATCTTCCTGATATCTGCTTGGAGAGCAATACAGCGGTGCATAGACAATCCAGGAAGTTTTTGGAAAGCGTAGGGGACAATTTCCTGGTGCAAGTGCTAGAGGAGCCAACTGGTGGGGGGGGGGGAGCTTTTCTTGACCTGCTGCTCACAAACCGGGAAGAATTAGTGGGGGAAGCAAAAGAGGATGGGAATCTGGGAGGCAGTGACCATGAGTTGGTTGAGTTCAGGATCCTGACGCAGGGAAGAAAGGTAAGCAGCAGGATACGGACCCTGGACTTCAGAAAAGCAGACTTTGACTCCCTCAGGGAACGGATGGCCAGGATCCCCTGGGGGACTAACATGAAGGGGACAGGAGTCCAGGAGAGCTGGCTGTATTTCAAGGAATCCCTGTTGAGGTTACAGGGACAAACCATCCCAATGAGTCGAAAGAATAGTAAATATGGCAGGCGACCAGCTTGGCTTAACGGTGAAATCCTAGCGGATCTTAAATATAAAAAAGAAGCTTACAAGAAGTGGAAGGTTGGACATATGACCATGGAAGAGTATAAAAATATTGCTTGGGCATGTAGGAATGAAATCAGGAGGGCCAAATCGCACGTGGAGCTGCAGCTAGCAAGAGATGTCAAGAGTAACAA